GCCCCTCCAGCGCGTCTGTAGTTGTGCTTCTAATTTCTTGTGTTTTCATATCCAAAATAATCGTCGGTTCACTTCCACATCACTGCATCTAGCTATTTCAGCAAATTGAATACGATTTACGAATTATTCTATTCTACTTTGGTATCATCTTGAGGTTCTCACGAGTTGTTTTGTAAAGGGGCTGAAAAAGGTTATATCTTCTTTTGAAGCCTAGAAATGTATCATCCAAATCAAATGAACAGCAACACTTTCACCGTACTTTAAGAGTTACATGTGTAGTCTTCACAATTATGCCTAGAAACTGTTTAGCAACGAACACCCGTGGGCTAAGTCATCGACTAACTAGGATGGTATAAAAATACCATGGCTTTTATATAATAGACTCAATGATGTTGCCCTTTCGTTGACGAGCATTGTTGTTTGAACTAAGCCCCGAAGTTCGAATAGTATTGTTGATCAAACAATTTCCAAGAAACAAAGTCGTCCAAGCGCCGGCGGCAAGCATCTATATTATAGAGCATTTGAGGTCAATGTAGGACTCAAACCTAGTGTTTCAGGTAGCTGTTTCTGGCTGATATTAAATCAAGAGTGTATGTGGTTTGTTCTTTTCGAATGTGAATTTAATGTAAATCATTACCCCCGATTATTACCGAGGAAGTATACCTAGGTAATAGACATGATGGATATGAACCAATAAGAATAGTCCCATTCCGAGTCAGAGAGAGTAACCTTAGATATACTTTGTAGTCTATTCGTATTGCTGCAAGGGGTCCCGAAGGATTATAGTTCCCCCACGTGGGGTTGTGAGACCCCTGTACATATGTTGTAGTCATTTTATCTTGGATTGTACGAATAATTTCCGAATTATATGATCAAATGTCCTATAATACAGAGTAATAAAAACCTCCAATAATCAAGTTCGTGACCATGACCCATCACTTACCCCATCCGGGCCTCGCCAAGCTTCCCATCCCGCGAAAATTTGCGCTTGGAGGCATCGAGCCCGAATTCCCGTTCCCCCCCGCCAATTCGGATTATTGGCTTTTATCCTCATTTTGTCTAGCCCTTCTATCTCGGCCACAGTATTCACTTACCCTCGGTAGGCGTCAAGGGGACTTTTCGCCGCCCTGGAGCGCTCGCGTGCAATGTTCCCAGCATTGTGGGTACTTTGATTTTTCTTCCCCTGACTTCCGAACCAGCTCAACTTTCAACCCCATATCGAAAGTTGCTCGAGACAACAACCCCCCTCCATTCCCCCCCTAGTGTCCTCGGTTATTCCGCCTATCCAACATGGCCGAACCCAAGGCCCCAGATACCATCACGCCGGTGGATAACCTCCCCGAATATGGTTACTCTTCGACCGCGGGACCCGCCTCGGACTCGTCCATGACCAAAGTCATTCAAAATGCAAAGGCAGCTACGGAGAAGGAACAATCCATGACATTGATGCAAGGGATCCGGCTGTATCCTAAGGCTGTGCTTTGGAGCGTGCTCATCTCCACTTGCATCGCCATGGAGGGGTACGATATTAGTTTGGTCAATAACTTCTATGCCTTCCCGCAATTCAAGCGCAAATATGGTGAGCCGCTGGCCAATGGCAACTATGAAGTATCCGCAGCGGTAAGTTCGACCAATTCCGTTGGTGATTGTGCCTCCCATCTTTGGGAGTGAGGTGCATTTGCCTCTTTGAGCGAAGAAACTGACAATTCTCCGGATGTACAGTGGCAAGCAGGTCTGAGTAACGGTGCTTATTGCGGCGAAATCATTGGTTTGTTCATCAATGGCTGGGCTTCGGAACGATTCGGTTATCGGTACACGATTATGGCCTGCCTCATACTTGTTAGTGCGTGGACGGCAATCTTCTTCACGGCCCAGAATGTGCAAACCCTGCTGGCAGCGGAGATTCTTTGCGGTGTTCCCTGGGGTGTCTTCCAGACTTTGACAATTACCTACGCCTCGGAGGTGTGTCCTGTGGCGCTGCGAGGGTATTTGACCACCTATGTCAATTTCTGCTGGGGTCTTGGCCAGCTCATTGGAATCGGTGTGATTAAGGGCATGTTGAGCCGGACTGACGAATGGGCCTACCGCATTCCATACGGACTGCAATGGATGTGGCCGCTGCCGCTCTTCATTGGTATTTGGCTTGCCCCCGAATCCCCATGGTGGTTGGTTCGGAAAGGTCGGACTGAAGATGCGAAGCGGGCCCTTGTGCGTTTGACCAGCAAAAGTCAGGAAGATTTTGATCCCGATGAGACGGTTTCTATGATGGTGCATACTACCGCTTTGGAGGAAAAAATCACCAAAGGTGCTAGCTACCTAGACTGCTTCCGGGGTACCGATCTCCGCCGTACGGAGATTGTTTGCATGGTCTGGGCCATTCAAAATCTCAGTGGAAACTCCTTTTCCAACTATTCGACCTACTTTTTGGAACAGGCTGGGTTAAGCTCCTCGAACTCTTACGCCTTTGCTATGGGCCAATACGGTATCAACATGGTTGGCGTGTTTGGATCGTGGTTCCTCATGACACTCGGAATCGGCCGGCGCACGCTGTACCTATACGGTCTTTGTGGTCTGTGCACCATGCTATTAGTCATGGGTTTCCTAGGCCTTGTCCCCAAAGAGCACAAAGAGCAGGGCTCCCTAGCCACGGGTGCCATGATGTTGATCTGGGCCCTATTCTACCAGCTGACCGTTGGCACGGTCTGCTTCTCCCTTGTAGCCGAGCTTTCCACCCGCCGGCTTCAAATCAAGACAGTCGTGCTCGGCCGCAACCTGTATAACATCGTCGCCATCGTCTGCGGCGTCCTCACCCCCTACATGCTCAACCCTGGCGCTTGGAACTGGGGCAACTACGCTGGTTTCTTCTGGGGTGGCATTTGCTTCCTGTGTATCATTTACACATACTTCCGCGTCCCCGAGCCTCGCGGACGTTCATTCGCCGAGCTGGATTTGCTCTTTGAGCGTGGTATTAGCGCTCGCAAGTTTTCAACGACCCAGGTGGACGTCTTCGATGAGACCATTGAGGGCCGTGTCATTGATGATTACCGAGCGGAGAAGAACAACCGAACTGATGAGAGCCAATTAGAGAAAAATCACGGCTCGATATGATGCGATGTGTCTTATGTTTACGACTAATTCTGCTTCTGGGCCCGAAATTGATTGGCACTCTTGCATGCATGTACATAGCATTTTTCAGCAAATAGCATTAATCTAATATCTTTATATCATGGTCAAATACACAATGTAAACTGAAGTCTTCAATCTCTCATATCTTCACTTCTATTCCGATGAGGCTGCAGATAAGAATTATAGCCGGAAGTGCATTAGATGATATTGCTCTCTGTCAGGGCTATAAATAAGTCCTCTATTCTACAGCTCCAACATCGTGAATTACACACAGGCAATGAAAAAATCCAGCTTCTTCATTCTGAATGGTTTGGCCCCGCCATCATCTATTCATGGGACCACTCAGCCTTCTTCTTTTCCGCAAAGGCAGTCATACCTAGAAAAAGGCGTTAGTAAACTCCAACCCCAACCCACTCACTCAGCAGAACAAAGTGCCAACTCACCAATCTTCTGATCCTTACTCCCAAAGAGCGCGTGGAACAACCGTCTCTCATACTCAACACCCTCCTTGAGCGACAGCTCCTGACTCTTATTAACAACCTCCTTACCAGCAATAACAGCCACACGGCTGTAGCTAGCAATAGTCTCGGCCGTCTTATACGCTTGCTCCAGCAACTCCTCCTTGCCACCCGGCACAACCTTCGCAGCAACACCCCACTCACCGGCCTCCTTACCGCTGAAGTTCTTTCCAGTGAGGATAAGCTCCATAGCCTTGCTCTTGCCAACGGCACGGGTCAGGCGCTGAGAGCCGCCTGCACCGGGGATGGTTCCAAGCTTGATCTCTGGCTGACCGAAGGTGGCGCTCTCAGTGCAGTACAGGATGTCGCACATCAGAGCTAGCTCGCAGCCACCGCCGAGGGCGTAGCCAGAAACGGCGGCGATGACTGGGGTGCGGATGGAGGTGGCGAGGTGGGACCAAGGCGCGATGAAGTTCTCGCCGTAGGCAGCTGAGAAGCTTAGAGGGGCCATTTCTTTGATGTCGGCGCCGGCTGTGGTGGATTTGGTGGGTTATTATATTGTGATGTACATTGTGACTAGGGCGACGGAGTGACTGGAAGATATATGGTGTGTGTAGAGTGTAGATAGAGCATGTACATACCGGCAAAGGCCTTCTCACTTCCTGTGATAATGATCGCGCCAATGCTCTTGTCATTGTCGTAGTTGCTCAGAGCTTCATTAAGCTCCTTGAACAAGGGAGTGCATAGTGCATTGAGGGCCTTGGGGCGGTTGAGGGTAACTGTAATAAGAATGAGAACGGGTACTGTAATATATGGACTGCAGTTACATACTCAATCCCACGCCGGGCTTGGGGGTCGAAGTGAGGATGTGCTCGTAGCTACCAGTAGCTGAAGAATAACCCCGGACTCGGGCTAAGTAGGAAGTCAACGGGACCGATGTCCGCGAAGTGGCCAGACGAGTGCATTGACGGGCAAACATTGTGTTATATGAAGACAAGGACAATTAATTTTATTCGAATAATTGAAATTGAATTATGCAGAGAAAGAAGGGAGAGTAGCTACGCGATACCATCATAGATGGCCCGTTTCCCCGCGACCGACTGAACGCCGAAGTTAACCGTCCCGAGGTACACGTGAAGGGGCTAACCCATTTTAGTCTATCTTAGGTCACTGCACTGCCACACAACAACTGTGCCCCATGTCACGTGCCTATCAGTGGCTGGTGACTAATCTCTAATATGATTGGCCAGTCTGCAGTGGACACTTTTCTGTCCTGAAGGAAGCGCAGTGCCTGTCCTGGAATGTCTGGTTTCAGCAGCTTATCTTAATCACTGCTTTTCTTTACTTTTCCTCTTTCCTTTCTTTCTTTCGGTGGTCTAGGCCTGTGCTTTGCCTATCCTCCCTAATATCTTCATCATGGATGTCCCTGAGCCCGATCAGTCGCCCTTCACAGCTGTGTCCGCGCACACCTCTAGACTGACCCGAGTGAGTGTCTCGTGAGGGGTAAAGGCATTGCGCAATGTCTTTGGTTCCTTCATTTTTGAGATCTGTTGCAATTTGAATATGGATGCTAATATGCCAACCACAGCACTACCAAGCCTACCTCGATGCTTCGACCCCGTACACAACCTACCGCTGGGTTGGTTCCGGCGTGCTCCTGTTCCTCTTCTTCTTGCGCATTTTCCTCGCGCAGGGCTGGTATATCGGTAAGACTTCATCTAGCCCCTGAAAATGGAATTAGCAGAGCGAAATTGATGCGCCTCGACGCACCAGCACGCGAAAGCCATTCATACACAGCGCTGTAAACATCTGGATAAACAAACCGCTAACACCACAATCTCAAATCGCAGTTGCCTACACACTCGGAATTTACCTCCTGAACCTCTTCCTCGCTTTCCTGACTCCCAAGTTCGACCCCTCTCTCACCCAGGACGAGGGTCTCGAGGACGGTGAGGCCGGATCCCCCAGCCTCCCTACCAAGAAGGACGAGGAGTTCCGGCCCTTCATCCGCCGTCTGCCCGAGTTCAAGTTCTGGCACTCGGCCACTCGCGCCATCGCTATCGGCTTCGTTTGCTCTTGGCTCGCCGTCTTCGATATCCCCGTCTTCTGGCCGGTCCTGGTTGTTTACTGGATGATCCTGTTTGTGCTGACGAGTATGTTTCCCCTTCTCGATCGGAATTCGATACGATACCTGTATCATTTTGTTGTGGAGATAATGTCTAACTCGATCCTTTTTTGCAGTGCGACGACAAATCCAGCACATGATTAAGTACCGCTACGTGCCTTTCTCCTTCGGAAAGACACGGTACGGCCGCTCATGAGATTTTCGATTTCTGAACTTCTTTTTCTGTCTCTGACTCTATATCCACGATCGTTCGCATGTGCATGTCCTGTATCTGTATGCGCACTTTGGCTTGGTGAGCAACAGACAGACATGATATGATAGGAGGTGAAAGCGCTGGGCTCATGGTGGTCCATTTATGAATTTTCCCAGACTCTTTTTTAATCACTGTTTGTTTAGAGGGCCGCTGCTTTGGCGCGTTCCAGTCTTCCCCTGTGAAATATGATTAGACCTGAAGTCAATGAATGAACTGACTTGCAATATATGACTTTTGAAAAGCAAGATTCCAAGGCCTCTTTTTACAATTTCTTCTTTTTATATTTTTTATAATTCGCCAAACCGTAAGGTAACATCGGTTGAGACATTTCATGTGGAGGTGAGGGCATTTGCGCTTGTATGTTTCCATGATCTTATTTGAGAACATTAGCACTATTGGGTGAACTAAACACCTGATGCATCTAAAGCCGCATGAATCAAGAATATTGTCTAGTCTTCCCCCTCACCTGTTGCCTACAGGATTTCCCACTCTCAACCACATCCCCAACATGAAGTGATACATGGCTGTCGACTCGAACTTAAGACTCAGACTTGTACTCACACTCGAGTGAACGCCATAGCGCAACTATGGACATGGATATGAACATGCCATCAGTGTTCTCAGCCTCCACTGAAATCACAATCCTCTTCACAGGCTGGACAACGTCAACCACAACACAATACATCTTCACACTAACGTTTCTATTCGTCCTCGCCATCTTCAACCGCTTCCTCGGTGCTCTTAAGTTCCAGCTCGAGAAATCTTGGTCCCGGAATACCTCTTCCTCTCAAACTCTACTTCTTGCACCAGTAAACCCACGACGAAATGTCCGAAAAGCGAAGCTCAGCCCTCTTCCAGACTACATGCGTGTGTACGGGGATGAGGACGACGGCGAAGAGACTTTACCAATTTCAAACAACGACAATGAAACACGAAATGCGTCAATGGGGCATCCCAAAGAGGATAGTCTTCAGAATAGGACGTCACTGAAACATCTACTCCCATCATGGAAGGCCAGTGGAAGGTGGAGTTTCCGAAAAGACGGGACACGCGCGTTGCTTGAGTGTGCTAGGGCTTTGATTGGATATTTCTTGTGGGTGGTTACACTTACTGTCTACATGTGTATCATGTATCGAATGATCGACTAATTATTCATATTGATAGGATGCTATCCGTGATGACCTTCAACGTCGGCGTCTTCGTTGCAGTGATTTTCGGCGTCCTAGTGGGAGAGCTGCTTCTTGGGAGATTCTCCCAGGGAACTTCCTGGCAGGAAGGGACTTGTCATGGTGGGTGATTGGAGTTTTTATTGCTGGTCAAGTCCTAGTTGTGCTCCTTTTACCTCGCAATGTGTAATGCTGCGTAGTGTTTGACAGAGGCAGCTTGGTACCTAGGTGTTGATTAAGATGGGCTATTAGAGCTGTCGCTATTAGACATGCTAATCTCATCCATGCTTCATTATTTACCTAACTCCTTTATAAAACAAGAGCGTCCGTTGATATAACCCAAATAGTCATCTTCCCTCAGTATAAACATAATCAACCTGTTGCTGTTGTACTGGCTGAATCTCTGATTCTGGACTGCAAACCATCGACCCTATTCAAAAGGACAAATGTTACTACAAATCTATGTCGAATCCAAATTACCGATTCCGTTCCGCTGACATGACATACCTGGAGCAAGTGGAACCATAATCGCCCAAACCTCGCGACAATTGCAATCAACTCCATCGAGGTGTGAGCACTTTGCCAGTGGACGCCCAGCCTTGGGGATTCTCTTCATCGGTCGATCATAGTGTGCGCATTTGGATGAGCGGTGGCCTCGAATACAGGATTGACTATTGTAGGGGCTGTAAGTACGTTTTTCTACAATCTGGGTATAGATATAAAATAGGAGGTGTCTCACCAAGACCATTTATCACCTTGGGAGTCGAATGGCATGTTTCTAATTTGCTGATTCGAATATAGCCAAGTCCACTAACAATTGTAGTAATATCTACGGAGCCCAAAAGAGGAGGGGATATTGGATTTATTGAGTAAATAGTGGAACTTGCGGGAAATGTCTATTGAAGATGTAGACTAACACTATGTACTTGCGCAAATGTGCTCAAATCAGCGCCGAGGGGGATCGGCCGCTATATAACCTTTTTTGGAGATCGACATGATCTGTAGATATGCAACGTTGTAGGCTGTACGGATATAGAACAGAATAAACCCTGCCAAAAATCATGCATGAATGTATATTGGCAAAGTTTTTTTTCAAGCCGGGATCTGCGAGCAACGCATTATTAGGTACATTTTGTATGGCGCCCATATACAAAAGGTACATACTATACAAAATTCGTAGCGCCCAATTTTCTCAGTTAAAGATGGCGGCTGCTATTAGGACAAGCGGCTGCTATTAGGACAAGCGGCTGACATTCATCTGATTCTACACTAGAACCGAAAACATAGTTCAGATCATACTCCTGAACCCGGCGCTTTTTAATTCAAGCATAGGAAACACTCCATCTAACTCCAAGTCGTAGGTATCATGAACGGGCACCGAGGCACATGCGGCGTAACTTGGAAGGACCACATCAAGAAAAAAGGAAAAGGTATCGCTATAACTTAAATCAACAGATTCTCCACGCTGCTCGGCATCTTGCCCCCGGTAATAGCGCTTTCACCCAATGAGAGAGTCGACATTTTGCGGTCTGGATTGGGGCGTGACAAGTCCTCGGATTTAGTACAGATCCAGGTCGATGCGTACATATTGACACTAGAATATGCGTAAGCGTCGTCCGTAATAGTCAAGCACAACAATCCCGAAACTTACCGATCAATACATGTGCCTGGGAAACGAGCTCCCACGCGACGAGCAGTGAAGCCGTTCTCTTCAAAGTGCTTGATGTACCAAGGATCGATACTGGCGGAACGGAGGAGAATGCGACCACCCTTTTTCAAGGCTTTGTTGAAAGTTCGGGCCTGGGAAGGGGCAGAGTCCCCTGCGGGATCGAACCAGTCCATAGAGTCCATGACCTAATATAAATTAGCACAACAAGCATCGCAAAAGGGCATTCCGATACTTACCACGGCGATAGTCAAAGTTCCCGGAGTGATGCGGTTGATCACTTCATTGATCTCATCAGTGTGGATACGAAGGCCATCGAATGCACCAGGTGTGGAAAGCTTGACATGTGCTTGAGGGGAAAGATAGGTGGGGTGGCATCTATTACTGCAGTTAGCACGTGTAATTGAAAGACAAAGACAAAATAAACGAACCTCCGTGAGAATTTGCCCTGAACGCAAAGGAAGTAGAAGTAGTTATCGTTGCTGATAAGAGTCTCGTTGATCACAGGGTCGAGAGTATTCACAACATATTCCCAAATGGATTGGCCGCTGATGTCCTTTCCCTTTTTCATCTCTTCAGTCAAACCATTGCGGCGGAAGAAGTCGTCGACAATCATATTTCGTTGGTTGCGTGGGACTCCGGCGGCCTTCCATGCGAACCACTCGGTGCTCACAATAGCCCAGTTGAGTGGTCGGCTCAGTAGCACACGTCGAATACGAGGCCAAATTTCGCGCTGCTCTGCAATACTCTGCGCTTCACACAGCTTGCGAACTTCACCCTGGAGTCCGAAGATATTGAAGAGCCATCGCACCATACGAATGGCGTGGCGAGATCCACCGGTCTCATACAGACCATGGCCAGAGGTAGAGGTGAAGGTCTGACTGTGCTCGAGCCAGTACTGGAAAGCCTGACTGGACAGGTGGGGGCTGAGCTTAGAGATTAGCAATTCACGGAACTGTGCGTGCTTGCCATCACCGAAGATTTTCCACATATCGCGGTGACCCAGCGCCAAATAAGAAGCAACCTTCAACTCAAGAAGATGATTCTGGTTAGGGTTCAAGTCCACTGCGTGCACCCGGCGGGGACTCTTTTGTAGATAATCAAGAATGTTGTCACCAGCGCTGGTGATAGCCAGGATCACGTCGTCTTTTCCAATGTTCAGGAGTCGGTGGTCAACTCGTGGGTCTTCCCATGTGAACGCGTAGATGTACTCGTTTTGGAATTGAGTGTGTTTGGGTAGCATGTCATTGTAATGAATGCGATAGTGGTGGTTCTGGTAAAAGGATGATGGAAGTGGCAGGTTTGCACTCAGGTTAATCACGGCAGACTCGTATGCCTTGGAGCGAATCTCGTGTGTGCTTTTCACAACTGCATTGTCCATCTCCTGCTTGTGATTGGCAGGAAGAAGGTAAGGGGACTCAGTAAAAGACGCATCCAGCTTCTCAATGGATTGACTTGATGGGGTAGATGCCATTTCCTTGGGGCAACCAACAAAGATGTAGTAGGGAATACCACCAAGGAAATAGTTTCGTTCGCTGGCAGAGATGACAGTACCAAACTTGTATTCCAGATAGTCTCGGCGGGCAGCTTCAAGGCTGACGCGGTCGAAATCGAACCAAGCTCTCCAGAATACACGCCCGAGCCAGTTGACGTGGCGGTTGAAAGCGCCACCAGTGTAGTTGCGACAGGAAACATCCACAATGCTTTGGACTATATTTTGAATGAGTGATATTCATGCAAAATTGCGATATATAGCTTACCGTAAAAGTCACACACACCCAGCATTCCAGTTGACTTCAAGCGGGAGGTTAATGAGTCGACAACGCTGTAATAGTCTAAACGAATCAATACCAATAGTCTTACGTGGGGATCTTTAATACTCACCAGGAATCATTGATAGACTGTAGCTCATAGTGATCAAGTCCGCGCCAGCACTTGCTATATTGTCCTTCTCAGGGAGACAGAAAGACCGGGCATCCTGGCAGAGAACGGTAACATTGTTCCACCCAAGGCGTTCGAAGCGCTTGCGGGCAACTTCGCAGAGGGACGGGGAGAGATCGACTAGGTAAACGTGTTTAAAGAATTTGTCCACCGGAAGGAAGGCGGCCATGGCTTCGATGTTATATCTGTCACAAGTCAGATGTTCGTTCTGTGTCACTTTAAGATTCCTCTCGTGCCTACCCAGTACCACCACCGACCTGTAATGCATTAGCGCTAGCTCATAATGACAGCAAGTCAACACTCACATCCACCCAGACGGCCTTTCCAGCCTTGACTTCTTTGTTGCTAATCTTGTACTTAAGCTGTGCAGCTACAAGACCAAGCATGTCCTCACGACCACAGAGCAGACGACGACGAGTGGCATCGTAAATTGCGGCCTGACACGGTCAGCTTCAAGCCAAATCCAAGCTCGTGGCCATCTGATCGCACCTGTGTCTTGTAGAAGCTTTCCAACGCATCCTGCTGGCCCCCGGCCTTCTTATCGTGCGGTTTGATGAAGTTCGCCCAGATGAATTTCAAGTAAGGACCAACTCCAGAGTTGGCAACCTTGATGTGCTGAGAGGAGATGAGAAGAACCAGACCGACTAGGGCAAACACCAGTACGGCGGCCCCGACGATGTAGACGTGCATCCAATCCATGTTCAATATGTAAAAAGAGCGATGCAACGAACAAAGAGTGAGAGAAGCGACCGAGAGATTCAAATATAAATCGAATTGGGTCTAATTGACCACATGCCCCCCCTCACGAGGAGACGGCAGCGTGTACCATGTCCTATCACGGCGACACATGGGGGGTGCAGATGATAAGAGACAGAGTGGAGGGGCAAGGGAAGGTACAATGGACATGAGGTACACGTATAACTATGTGCATTAAGGAAGTAACTTGTACATGGTCCACTATAACCCTTTGAATTGAGGGAGTAGATCATCCGAAAGCAGCACAAACCGAAGTAAATCCCAAAGTAAATTGACTGCAAATCAAATCCGATCCAACTCTAAGGACAATTGGGTTCCTGCAGTAGCCTGTGGTCCCCAACGATTGGGCCACTCAGAGCCCAGTCACTTCCCATGTGGTTCCCCGAAAGTCTTGGCACTGGCCGTTGCGGTCCCATCGACTTGGCCCGTGGGGCCTGCTGTGTCCCCCATAGGGCCGCCACCAAGGCCAATCCTCAGGGCCCACGGGCGCCAATCAGCTCCCCGGTCTCTAGCACATTGGGAGTTCCCCAGGTTTGATGGGATCTCAGTGCTACTGTTCATTATAAAGTGGCCCTGGAGATCCCGATAATCGGAATATTTTGGGATCATATACTACCCAGGTATTGGTTTATTAATTCCGTTTGCAAAGAAATCCATACAAAGTACGGAGTACACGTAGCATCGTTTTCATTGCTAATCAATTATATTTGGGAGGTCGTGAATGATATGGGTCTTTCGCACTCTATTTCTGTTACCTAGACTAGGCCAGAAGATAGAAACCAGTAAATAACCACCAAGTCTATAATAACTAGTTGAATGAATTGAATTTTATTAGGAGGCAGTCTGATTGAAAGCAGGTGAAGGTATCCATTCCTAACATATAGTCAATGCATACCTATCATAATATCCGTAACTCGAGATAGCTTAACTAACATACAGAAACGAAGACCAATGGGGTAAACGTTACATGAATCGACGAAGATAGTCTCAGGTTACCAAACTCAATTTTTCCCAAGGCGATCTTGCTGTCAGCCGGTCGTCTAATTTCCTTAAACAGTGACAGCATCCAAGCCCATCGCATGGAAGTATGAGATACTGTCTCCTGCAATATTCACTTCCTTAATCTGGCCTGTACAGTCGTCCTGGACAAGGAAGTCTGTTCCGTTATAGGTGACAGCAGCACCTTCTTTCAATGGCCTATATAGGTAATTTGCGACATTAGCTTTGTAATCAAGATTACAATTACTTGAACTTACGTTGGAAAGAGAGTGAAGTTCGATCCGAGCACACCATGCATTATCCACCGAACAGCAATCGAATGATCGGCCGCGACCGTTCGGATGGGTTCGAAGTAATATTCCTTCCATCCAGTTCGGGATCTTTTGACGAAGGCAGCAAACTCATCTCTGTTTATGATATGGGTGGCCGAGCTTCCCTTGCCGCTTGCTGAAGGGAATCTGTCCGCAAAGAGGACAACATCAGGATGGAAGACAGTGTCAATGAGCGACAGGTTCCCGCCCCAAACGGCGATGTAATTCTCCAGAAGACGCTCATGGAAAGCGCAACTGGTGATATCCGGTCCGCAGCAGGATGAGCCAGCAAGGGTCCCGGGGAATCCCAGTAGAGAATAGAGAGCAAAGTTCAAGATGAGGTTGAACTTCATTATGAAGGTGTCCTTTGAGGCTCGTTGATATTCCAGGAAGAGCTGTTTGACTGCGTCTCTAACTTGGTCTTGGGGATTTCCCTCTTTTTATATCTGTTCAAATACACTGCCACATCGTCGAGCAGGTCTCTGGTGGATCTCGAAATACGAAGAATGAAACCACTTCCAGTACATGAAGGACGGGATGTGGATATCCGTGGGCCTGGTGCTATCGCAGAATAACTGACGGCGAGGCATTTCAAAGTTCCTTATGGAATGGCTGGATGAAAATAGTATTTTAGCCCCCAAAAGATACGCCATCTGACAAGTCCAATGCAATCCGCGCACAATGTTCCCTTTTGGGTTTAACCCGGGAACGTCTGCGGCCCCACCAATTTAAAGTTATCTCCACGTGAGTCTGACACAACTTCAATAGTCGTGGCCAGCAACAGGGCACCTGGACATGGAAGAACATTGTGGACGGTAGTGATTGTTTTATTACCACAATCTCCACGAATAGGAAAAGCATTAGTCGAACTAAAGCGCACCCTTACACTGCATCACCCAGCCCAGTTTCCAATGGTTGGTGTCGCGGGGCGTTCCAAAGCATGCCGTACCTGCAGGCGGCGCAAGAAGGGAGTAAGTATTTATTCCATGAATCAAAAGTACCCATTCTACATTGAAAGAGCAGCACTAACCACAATAGTACATATGTAGTGTGATCTACAACAGCCCGCGTGTGGCCAATGCAGAAAGTCTTGCATCCCTTGCGAAGGCTATGCTGATGGTCTAGTCATATACCGCTACTATGGCCGTAGCCAGGAGGAAAAAATTTCTTCTTTTCGTGGCTCAGCTGAGATTCAAAGCCCCCTTCCGATCGAGGCTAGTCCAAATCATGGGTCTTTATCAGCTGACCTGACTACATCTGTCACTTTTTCTCAAGCCGCTTACGAGTCCTGTGTCGAAGGGAAATTTTGGATATCTTACATGCCAAACAGTCGGTCCTTTTCGCTTTATAATGATACCCAGCGAGATTTAGGTGGCTCTATCAGTGTACTTCGAGATATCCTACCGGGAAAGAGCATCTTACGCACTGCCCTCGGGGCAATAGCACTCAGTGCTGCCGCAAATGATGACAACAGCCAGTATTGGATGAAGCAACAGGGAACAAAATTACATATGAATGCTCTGCAACAAATGCGAAAAGCATTAAGCTCCCACAGGAAGCCTGATCTGGAACTTCTCGGCGCCGCACGGGTATTCAGCTTCTACGAGGTATATCTTATTCAAACTTGGCTATTAATAGGCAAATCTTGTTTGTAATTGAATGCTAATCAATGTGGTTCAATTAGGCTCTATACGGTGGTGATTGGCAGAACCAGGATGCGCAATCCCGCAGCTGGAGCATTTATCATTCTGGAGATCTTGCGCTTATCCTTTCGAATCCACCGTCATTCTATGCTACCGGCCCAGCTCATAGACTGTTTGTTGACGGGCGACTCAACCATGTATTGGGTCTCTATCTCGACGATATGGAGTGATGCTAATACATCAACAGGTAAAATGTGCACTCAAGGAACGAAAGAAGCTTGTCTTCAGTGAGCCAGCGTGGATGACTGATCCTTGGACCCATCACCCAAAAACTCGAAAAGATCTGTTGGTAGACATTCTTCTGGAAATCCCATCGATATATGAGGGGGTTGACAACATGAATCTTCTGCCAGATTCCCCGGCGAAGTTGAGACAACGATTTGACCTTCAGGAAATGGTTTTCACTATCATAGAGAGACTACAAAACTGGAGGTCAAACTTTGCCGTCGCAGTGGCGAGTATAGGACCGAAGTGGCAGTTCCCAAGAAACATGGCGACAAATGAAATTGCGAATGCACATATAATGACACTCTACTGGGCATCGAGTATCATCGCTTACGGTATCTGTCACACCATTTCAGATGGGGAATTTGATGCTGTATGTCTTGATCCGGACGGTTGTTGTCGCAGTATAATACGCTGTATCCCGTCATTCCTACACCCATCCACCGGCGTCTTTCGTCAACACCTCGTCCCTTTCCCATTGATAGTAGCAGCTCGACACCTCAAGTCAGTACAGCCACAGAAATTACAAGAAGAGAGCGATTATGTCCGGTCTTTATGTGAGAACCCACAATTTACACCGATGCATCAGTTCATATCAAGCATTCAGCCACGAATTTTGAGTGTGTTAAAGAAAGCAGATTGAGGTGATAAAAGTTGGGGTTGGATACCTATACGCTGGCACTTGGTATTGCCTAATGTTGATCTTCGATTTTGTTTGCCTATTTCCATTTTCTGTAGATGATACATTCGCAAGGACTACATATTGCGTGGAATGCTACCCATTATCAAAATAAGCTTTTAGATTCCGCATAACTTCCTGGTCCATTTAAGTACGACCCAACAATGGTATTTTGCTCTTCTCAATGCCCTCAGTCTCGGGGCTTTGTCTTCAAAGATAGTAAGAACTGGACTGCTTTCTTGTTTTCGTATCGTCTGATATCAGTGACAATTGAAAATGGTGTCAGACCCTCGAAGTCCGGGGAATCAACATCCACTTTCCCGGTATCTAGAAGAACTTTCATGACTGCCACATCACCACGCAATGCAGCATAATTAAGGGGAGTCCTGCCGTGACAATCTTTCAACGCAGGATTCACTGCATCGAGTGATAGTAAGAGTTTCACTGGCTCCTCCCCCACCTCCGCTGCATATGACAATGCAGTTCGTCCTTGGTACGTGCAATCGATATCGGCTTCCCCCGTGTCTAAAAGCATTCTCATCGTCTTCATATTGCCATTGTAAGCACAACAAAAGAAGGGGACTCCGGCCATACTCCTCAGTGGTGTTAAAGTCGATGTTGCTTCTCGCAAGCAGCGATTTGTCAGGGCTTGGGGTGTCTTGAATTGCTGTACCGACGAATGAAGTTGTACCACCTAGTGCCCACTCCGTCTTGGAAATATGGCCGGTGGCTTCGAGTAATAGTTTGAATAGACCCATGCCATTGTTTCGGGTAGCGATAATAGGTAACGATTCTTGTGCGGGGTCAAATGTTTGCGGATGTTGGAGTAGACAAAGTCTGATCATTCATTATGAGACAGACAGGAGAGTTGGCACAAACAAAGGGGTGGCAAGTGCAGAATAAGGTGGTGGGTGTAAGAATAAGAAGGTGAGTGAAGTTTGAAAGGGAAGTAAATCTCAAAAAATGTAGAAAAATAAGTTGATAAAAGTAGAATCTCCATTTATCCGCGTATATAGGCATAGAACGTATATATTATAAGATTATACCAATAATATGATTCGTTTAGGTGCAAGACGGAGGCCGCTCGAACCTGAAGGGTATTCTGAGGTGAGTGGATTAAAGACAAGTTTGATGTAGAGGACGTCAAAATACCAGTAAGCGGTGACAGAACTACATATATGTATCTAGATGAATGAGAGGACTACTTTGATTAACCATTGACTATACGTAACGCCATTTTCCATTGCTCAGACGCCAGACCCAGGGGAAACTACCGCAGAAACTTCGAGATTGTAATGTTCAAAAAAAAAAAAAAAGGATCCATAATACATAATAAATAGCCGCCAATATCTATTCGTCATCGCTCATGGGAGTATCCTCATCGGCTGGCTTCTCAGTCTCCTCGTTCTCCAACGGTTGCTCCTCTTCCTGAACAACAGGCTCGGGTGGCATATTGCTTGCAAACTTCGGATCGATGCGCAGACGGGTCAAGGCACGCTTGTAGACTTCAGCCTCGTTAGGGTCGCGCATCACCACCTGCATCTGATCAATCCGTTCCTCGTCCTCTTCCTGTTGGGTAGCAGTGGGACCGAGGCCGACCTGGGCAATAGTGCGGGCACGCTCCGGCTTGAGGCGGGCCTTTCCTGAAATTGGATAGTAGTAAGCGGCCAATTGTCTGGTGTCGCCATTCTTGGGCTTGAAAAGTGTCAATGCAATGTCCTTTTGATCGGTGTTGAAAACCTGAGCACTGGTGGCGTAAGTGCGAATGCGATCATAACGGTGGAACTTGTGGCCATCGGCACTTTCGTTGGTGTAGAGGTCTTCGCTGTCTCGGTTTGCGTTGGACAGGTTCATACTTGCGTCAATGTTCTTAACAGATTGGGGCTTCTCTGGAAGGAAGAGCTGGTAGTCGTAAGGGACTGGGCCCGGGTGAGGGTAAAGAGCAGGGTTCGTGTGGTGAAGACTGAGCTTAGATTCATGCTCCTGACAGATACGCTGCTCAGGCGCGACTGGTGTCAGGATACCAACATCCATGCGCTTGTCTCTCTTGCCTGCGACGGCTGCCAAAGGCGCCTTATCAAACTTGAATTGAAGGTAACCACCAGGGTCTGGGAATCCTTCCAAGTCAGGCATCACAGGGAAGAACCCGACTGGCTTCAGCTTCGGGTTTTCAGGATTAACGGGATTAGCCCAGGCGTCAAGTTCTGCCTTTGTGGGAGGAAGACCACGAATGTGGCTATCAGTGTCTTCTCCGGTGTGCTTGCTCTGAGGGTAGGCGATATCGAAGCCCTTTTGGATGAACTTCTTAACATGCTTCGGGTCATCCACAGGAGGCTTTCCTTTCTTTGCAGTGCGTGATTGTGGTTTAATGGGTGCAGGGCGGGATCCATCTCCGGCACTGCGATCGACACCGATGTGCTGTGTACGGCGGAGGAAACTGACATTGGTATTCCTCGGGGCAGGGTTTCGGAGTTGCTCGATAGTCATGAGAAGGGGAAGGTCAGCGGGGTCCATGGGCTGAGGATTCTCGGGTGCCATAATAGCTGGTGGAGAGGTTAGTTTCAGCAGTATAACTATAGGGGATTCCGCGTGGACATACCACTCTCATCGCCCAAATGTAACCCTGGAATACCGACAAGGTCAATTGGCATTCCACCTTCGGCATCGACTTCAATGTTGGGCTCCTCACGGCGTGCCAGGTTTGAGGCAAACCCGGGGGTGAGGAAGCGACTCAAGCCCTCGTGTGGGATGTCAAGGAACTTCGGGGGCATGTCCGGGGGAGGGAGATCATTGCGATAGCGGAGGGACGCAATGTACTCCTGGTGAAAGCCACCCGATGACTGGCCCTCCTTAGATTTGGAAGACATATTGTCGTCTTATTTGCTCGCGCGATTGACTGGGAGATTAATTGCGCATTAGCAACTTGGCGTCTGGACTGAGTGGGACGGAAGCTCACTGTGATGGATTGGGATGGACTGAAATTGTTGGGTGAACTGGGATGCCGTCGCCACAAATTTGGCAGAGAGAAATGATTGTACAAATCTATAATGGCCAGTTAGTATACGAGCTTGATTCAAAATGGACGCGAGGGAATTGGTCGCAAACCTACCGCCAGGAAAGTCAAGGGCTTGTAGAAAGGCAGGGACAGCGGTAGGGAGGAAAATTGGCGATATAATTAGAATCTAGTGGTTCAGCTCGCCAGTAGAAGAAGCTTATCCAGACTGGCCACAAATGAAGCTGGAGGAATCGGCAAAAGCTGCCATTCAGAGCAACTCCGGAGCTGAGTCTGAGGATCATTATTCTGCCCGTATCTACCGCCTATGTACTGGGTTCCCTAAATATGCGTGGAAATACCGATGAGGTCACGTGCAAAGAGAGCAACAGTATGCAAAGAGATAACGTTGGAAAGCGAAGAAGTGCGTGTACTTATCCAACCTCAGGACAACAGCTCACTACAACATAGTTCTTTTCTTTTAGTTCAGTCTAATTACCGATTATCGCGATATTCAAGTTGCTCCATTGTATTAGAAAAAATATTGAAATCCCTTTTGAAAGTGACCAAAAACATGCAACTCCCACGCCGGATTCTCATAATACCATAAGTAAGTCTCCCAAGTGCACTCAATAGGCCCACATGCACTTGTACGCCATCAGACGGGGACCAAGTCGATCGTACTCCAGCCTTCCGATCCAACTGTCGTTTGTGCCGCTCAGTTTACCGAAAATACTGGCTCCCTTCCACACAACGACCTGGGGATCGAGGTCTCTGGGTGGCGTCCCGATCATGATCTCCTTTGAGAAGCCAGGGCGGAGAGCCTGCAGTCGCTCTTCCAAGAAGAGATGGAATCCGCTGGTCAAGCTACCTCCACCGACGACCATGATCCCGCCGATGAAATCCCGCATCTTCTTCTCGTCTGAGCGAGCCGCGTGGGCAATAGATGTGAGGATAGCGTTGTCCAGACCAAACACGGGCATGATATCATCCCGCTCTTCCACCGCAGGGGGGCGGGGAGGCTGGGCCGCAGCGGCGGTGGCAGCAGGTGTGTTTGTCCCTCCTGCCTGAGGAGTCCCTGTGTTGTCCGGTCCCGGAGAACCAGCGACAGAAGATCGAGGTGTACCTTCTAGATCTTGCACTTTGGTCAAAGCATGGGGCTGTTGAGGGCGGCTTGGTGTGGCCTGAACTTCTGGTGCTGCCGAGTGAGACTCGCCATTTGCCTTGCCATGAGAGGGAAGGGGAGGAGCCATGGCGGTCAAGATCTCTGACTGGGCTGCAGAAGTAGGATCATTAGGTGATCCATCATAGATGTCAACAGACCGATCGATCAAGGTCCGTCTCCCGGTGATTTTGTCAGAGTTGTCGAAAATAGCAGGCTCAAATACACCCATTGGCGCGAGGTGAACTTCGTCAAACGCTTTGAAAGTGTACTTTCGTGTATCTTGGCCGGCCACACGAAGGTGGAAATCAAAGACTTGTGGAGAAACGCTAGCTTCGTTCATGGTGCATATGTTCTTCTTAAGCTCTTCGGCCAGAAGGAAGTCGTGTCTACGGCGTAGGTTGATGTCGGCGTAGGGGAAATGATCATGTAGCATCATCTTGACGAATGTTTCGGTCATGTCTTGACCACCATACTTCAGGTTTACTCGGGAGTTCTCAATGCACATGCCTTCTTCCACGCAGCAGATCGAAGTCTTCTGCGCTCCAATATCGACGACACATGCCGAGGTGAAGCCGGCACCAAAGGTGGCTGCCAGACTCTCTTGGATGAAGCACACCCGAGCGAACGCAAACTCTCGCATCAACATATCCAAGACTTGGGTGACATAGGACTTGTCGTAAAGATCTGGGATGACGAACACACACGAATATTGGGTCCAATCCTTCTTGCTCGTCAAGCGCAGTTGATTCTTGATCGCATCTTCGACGATCAATGAAATATCCAAGAAGAGAGACCTCTTGCTCGTGTAGTCCTTCTCGTTGCACCAACCATTCTGAATTGGCCAATACAGCTTGTATCGGGGGTTTGAAGAATCTGGCACCCGCAGGGCCGGCTGTCCAACAATGTACTCCGGTGGGGGATTAGATAACTCGGTCCATTCAGCGCGCATTGGATCATTGTGTTCAGATATGATTTCTGGCACGGTTCTGCGGTTATAGTTAACAACCATCTCCTTGGAGTTTGGAAGCATTCGTCGCTTGTTCTGTCGCATGTGCGCCTTCAAATCCGCAGACATCCGATTGAAATGAGACGACCACTATAGAAAATTAGTACACAGCCACCTCAATAAAATTTGACGGAACATACTTCAGGTCCAAAAGCCTTTTCGGGTTCCATTTCAGAGCCGTCGTCGTGCTTAAACCTCTTGGGCTTGGGTTCATCATGGTCTTCGGACTCGTTGGTTTCTGCTTTCCTGGCAATCACCATTGGCAATGTCTTCGGCAGTGCGTCGCTAGCAAGTCCGATCCGGAGGTTCTGACTGCCCATGTGAATGACAATAACCTTGGAGCCAGCCATCTCGGCTGGGGTCTCCTCCGCATCCTCCATTTGGGCA